ACGACCGTCGCGTATAATCGCCTGACCTTGACCTGCGGTCCACGCAGGTTCGGAATCAGACGCCCTAACGTCGCGCTGACGGCTCGGATCTTCGGTCCGAAGCGCGCCAGATGTTCCCCGAAGTGAAGACCGGAGTCGAGAACCAAACCCAAGTATTTAAGTGAACTACCCACTCCGATTCCGACGTTGTCCACGATTATCGATAAGTCGCGAGGACGCGGATTCCGCGGACGGTGAAACCCGCAAGCTTCCGTTTTCGGCAGAGACACCCGGAGACCGGTGTCCCGGATGGCCTCCACCGTCGCGTTAAGTCCCGTTTCGGCGCGTTCGCGAACCTCCGCCCACCCGCGACCGGTCGCGAGGAGCAGAGTGTCGTCGGCGTAGCAAGTCAACGATACGCCTTCGGGAAGAACGGTCCGGGTGAGGACACGGTCGTAGGCGATGTTCCACAGGAGTGGCCCTAGAACCGATCCCTGAGGCACGCCGCAGAACACGTCCGCCCTTCCCGTCGTTCCGTCCGGTTTCTCGTACGCGATTTTCCTCTCCGAGAGGAAGGACTCTATCACCGACACGAGGTAGTCTGGCACGGACTTCGACGTAAGCCCGTCCCTTATCGCGGACCAAGGTACCGTGTTGAACGCGTTTTTGATGTCGATGGAGACGGCGATCGCGACGCCGCCCCGGTGAAGCGTGTACCGGATTCCGGCGCACACGCGGTCGAGTGCGTCGGTCGTCGAACGTCCCGTCTGGAAGCCGTATTGATTTGGAGAGAGGTCGTTCCTCCCTCCCCCTGATCGTAAGTGTTCGTCGATCCGAGACGCTATCACGCGCTCGAACAACTTGCCCTCCACATCGAGAAGACAAATCGGCCGGTACGCGCTCGGCGTCGTCGGATCCCTACCCGGTTTGTCCAGCAGTACCAAGTTTGCTTCTTTCCACGGCGTCGGAAACGTCGCCTCTCGGAAACACGCGGTGTAGAGCGCCGAGAGACGCGCACACAGCACCCCGGCAGAGTTGCCGATAATGCGGTAATGCACGCCGTTCGGGCCCGGAGCCGAGCGTCTCTTCGAGGCCGCGTCGAGGAGAAGGCGGACCTCCCCCTCCGTCACTTCGGTGTCGTGGTCGCGGTTCGCGTCGTGCGAGAAATCCGGCGGGGGAAACGCGAACGGTTCGACGCGAGGGAAGAGCTCTGCGATCACTTCGGCGAGAAACTCCTCCGTCATGCCGGCCGTCAGCGGTCCCAACGAACCCCTCAGTTTGTTGGTCACAAGACGGAACGGGAGACCCCACGGATCCGAATCCGCTTCGCTCAAGAGTTCTTTTCAACACGTCCCCTTAGAACTCCATATCGCTCGTCGGACCCGGACCCGGGAAGCTCTCCACTCCGCCTTTAAACGCGCGAGTTCGTCGTCGTTCGCGATGTCCTCGTAACGTCCTCCCCGTTTGATCAGTTGTCTTTTTTTGCCGACGAACCGGCGACGTGCGAGACAGGACTCCTGCCACAATTCTCCTATCTCGTCCGTCTACCAGTACTTCGGCCGTTTCCGAGTCGTCGAGCGCGAGCCGATTCTCTTCATGCAGGAGTCCGAGATCCGTCTTAAGTCGTCCCGAACTCCCCGCGCCATATCGTGTGCGTTTCGTCTTGTCGGGCCGGGAGCAACGTCATTTCTCCAGACCTCAGCCGCGAGACACTCGGCGAGCCGTTCGTCATCCAACGACCGCAGACTCCATCGGGGCGAGACGACGCGAGGTTTGTCCGGCGAGGAGGCTGCCCCCCGAGCTCCGAGGATCCCCGAACGAGAACGCCACGTAGGCGTGATCGCTGAGGGACTCGAAGTCGGAAAGGACCTCCCAGTCGGAGACCCGCGTCGCCGTAGAACCGGATGAAATCGTGAGATCGATCATGAACCCGCCGGTGGACCGCACGCACGTCTTGAATCCTTTTGCGTTCCACACGATGAGATGACGCTCGTCTAACCACTGTCTTAACAATCGGCCGCGCGCGTTAGTCGCGTAACCTGACCACGATGCATGTTTCGCGTTGAAGTCCCCGGACATCAGAATCGGACGCGAGTCCCCTAACCTGTCCAGCTCCCTCGAAATCGCTCGCAGCTGATCTTCAAATACTCTCAATGGACGATTTGGTCGACCCCACGGGACAATTCCCGAGGTTTCGGACCCGGCGCCAAGCTCGAGAAGAAGATCGCGGCCCCGCCGTCCTCGGATACGAACCAAGTGCCAGCGGAACAACTCCCTTCCCCCGACGGAACAACGTGGGGTTCCGAGATCATCGCGATCCCGACGCCCCACGTCCCTACCAAGTTAAGCAAGAGATCCTGTGCCCCTTTGCACCTATTCAGATTTATTTGGAGAAGCCTCCTCATGCTCACAGAGAACTACCGGCGGAGCCGTTCGTTCCCGGCTGACATGCGGAGGCTGCCCCCCTAACGTTTCCCCCCGTGTTCCTGGTATCGGATTCCCACCGAATGGGCCTACCCCTGACGGCCGGCGCCCCGCACGAAGACCACCGAGCCGGTGTTGAGCCTGCCGGCCCGCCTCCGAACAGGGAGCGCAGCGGATTTTGTTTGCGTATTCTCGCGCCCGGTGCCCCTTCTCACCGCACCTGAAGCAGCGGTCCAGCGCCGTATCTCCCCTTTCCCTGACATTGGGACAACGCGAGCCTACATGCCCCGGGTGTAGGCATCTGACGCAGATGGTCCTGTGTTTCGGCAGCAGGACCACCCTCGCACGCACCCACCCGACGACAACCGCGCCTGCCTTCAAGAGAACGGACGCGACGGCCGCCGGGACGGATGCGTACGCACACGAGTAACGATGTGGGCCTCCGCCGGTCGGGAAGCGCACAGAGATGTCCGATGACGAGCACCCCCCTACCCTAGCTAATTCCGCTGCGACCATCGACGACGTCGCCGACTCGCAAAGACCTTCCACGCGCAGGTCGACTCGCCTCTCGGGACACGAGGCCGTGACCCCCATCGGCCCTACGACGCTTTGGATCTTTGCGGCCAGTTCTGCCGCCTTGGCCGCCCTATTTTCCCCTCGAATTTCTAGTACCCGCCCTCCTGCTGCTGACGGACGAATTCTAAAAGAGCTTATTCCTATCTCGGCGTTGTTGATATTGTTTCTTGCCGCTCTCAACACCTCCGAAAATGTTTTCCCTCCGGTTTCGTTCTTGAGGATCACCGCGGCGGTTCGCGGTGGTTTTACACTTGACTTTTTCGGTGCCGGTTTCGGTGCCGGCTTCGAATTCGGCGGAGCTTCTTCATGATTCTTTTTCTGCTTCCTCCGCCTTGTTACCACAGTGAATTCTTTGTTACGTGTCGTAGTCGTCGCTGTACATGGCGGCAGCGACGTTTTTTCCGGCCTGAGCACGATAGGCGACGTGATTGCATCCCGGGATGCAACCAGGTCGACCGAGTCAGACCCAGCTTCCTTCGTAGCTTTTTTCAGAATGGGCGTCTTCCACGCTTCTCTCTCCGCCCTTAATTGTCTGACGTTGGAGTGCGCCAGATTCAATTTTTCCTTTAGTTTGGCGACACGATCATCGGCTGAAGAATCCGACAACCGTGACGCCAACTCTTGCGCCGCCGCCAGCAGCAACGTGGTGCCCTCCTTGATAGTTTTCGAGTGGCCGCCCTTCAGGTTGGAACTTCCCCTGACGGCGGTCAGTGCGCAGCGAGCTGCGTTTATCGCCGCCTCAAGGATGTCTTCACCATCCAAGCGGGCCAGCCCTCCTCTTCTGATGACGGGGAGTCTGAAAGCTGCCTCCTCCGCCGCTGCTTCCTTCTCCTCCTGTCCAGCTGCACGGAGAAGGGGCATACCCCCCGCCATCTCCCTACTTTTGGCACCAAGTCTGACTCCTGACGCGTGGCGCTGCGCGACCATTTCTCCGAGATCGCGGGTAAGATGTTGTAAGTTTCCTGGTCCTTCCATAGTGAATAAGTCAACAAATAGAAAAGTGAAGAGAGACAAGTGCTTAAAATTTGCCTGGTGAAACCTGGTTATGCAATTGAAGGACACTGAGAATTATGGGATATGCAATTTGAAGTACACTGAAAATTATGAGATATGCAGCCAGAAATACCGAAATTACTGGTTGTGAAAAGTGAGTTCCAGCCAAAAAATTCGAAGATTTGATTTATTGAAGGTCTCAGTAATTAGATGAGAGGGAAATATGTATGTGTATCAAAAATGAAAAATTCCTGATATTAAGCGAGATATCTTAAAAAGACTTCCCAATGCAGAACAACGCACCAAAAGGTCACTGCCCCTTACAAAAAGTAAATATGCAACCTGTCGTACACTTATGCAACCTATGCAACCTGCAGTACACTCCTATAAAAAGTTACGAGAATCACAGAAACGCCCTAGAAAACGCAAATTTGGGTTTGCCTGGATCTTTATGTGTCGTCCACCCACGAATATATACGTATAAGAAAAACTCGAAAATTCTCAAAAACAAGGGAGTTATTGCCGAAAAACGATTTTGACCGAAAAGTAAAAAAATAATTGGCCTTCAGTATAACGAGGGGATCACAAAAGAAATTTTGAACCCACAAATTTTTCCAAAAAATGAGCAAGCCGACCTCACGCGACATGACCCGCAAGAGGGTTTCAAAATTATCGGGCGTGCGGGTGACGCGTACACCTACATCAGCAACGCGTCCCCCCAGCCCGCCAGAACAAAACCATCCCCCCTGGACAGCATCCTGGCTTTCGGGGTCTGACTCGACCCGGAGAAGTGGATCGCAGCCCTGCCGTCCTCGGACTCTCAATCACCGGTGATTAACCGACGAGCCCTATTAAAACCTTACGCTAGAACGCTCTCGTTTAAAACGTGTTAACGCAACAACATCGGGATTAAGACTTCCTCCTCTCCCCTCCTTTTTTAAATTTAAGGATTATCAAATAAATTATTTATTAAAAAAAAAATTCAATTTATTGTATTTGTGATAGTTTTTTTTTTTTTTAAATTAATTTTACAGAGGATAATTAAGCATAACGTCCTGTCTAGCAAGTTCCAGCAACATGGGATCGTCGAAAAATTTATTGATTGATACATCTTCGGACAATCCTTTTCTTCTTCTTGTTTTAACCATGAATTCTCTTGCCAGATGAGTCGCAGGTTGAGGTTCTAAAGGTCGAATAACGATGCTTTTATCAAGGGGATCACCCGGAACGATCTAAAAAAAAAAAAATTTTTTTTTTTTTTTCAACTAAGCTGAGGGGGATCTTAAAAAAAAAAAAAATTTTTTCCTTTCACGAACCTGCCAATGGTGGAAAACCGAAAGGCAAAATGCTTGACCCTGCGTGTGCGTTCTTAAATCCGTTTCGAATCCTAGAGAATCTATCGCAGGTATGAAAGCTTTGATTGTGTAAAGCGGTGAACCCGGTACCGGAGCATCTTGAGTGACGTGACCTCTGAAAAACGGTTGAAACGTTAAAATTAAATTTAAATCGCTCTTCTTTGATATTGAGTATTATTATCATATTGAGTTTGTAATTGAAGAGTTAGAAAAATGTTTACCTTCTTTTTGCTAATACCGTGTAAACGGCAGATACGCAATCCGCCGGTGCTTGAACCTGAACGAACAAATAAGGTTCCATCAATCTCGGCGTGGCCATTAGAAAAGCGGAATAAGCAACTCTACGAGCCGTTGGAATTATTTGACCTCCTCCTCTGTGCAATGGCTCTGAAGCGATAACGGCATCGAGAATTTTAAATTTCACGTTACGTATGGGTTCTTCACAAAGTGGTCCCTCCCTTGTTCCCCATTGAAAACCCTAAAACGAAATTAACAAACCCTGTCAAAAGGAATTTGGAAAAAAAAAACTAATTATTATTATTATTATTTGTTTTTCAACTCACTTGAACAATTGAATCTTTAACCGAATTCAACAATCCTTTATCGACCTCTGAAGGTAGCGTGTCGTCAACCAAAATATTTGGACCTGTTATATCAGGACCGAACGCCCAAATGGATCGAGCGGCTAATAAATCCCAATCGTATTTTGTCTGGAAAAACTCTCCGAGTCGCTTTCTAAAAAACGAATAAAACAAATTTAAATTAAAAAAACTGTTTTAAAAAAAAAAATAAATAAATAAATTTTTCGGCTGGTTTAAATAAAAACGACTGACTTATTCCACGATATGTGAACTATTTCATTTTCAATATCTTCTGCTAAACCTTTTTCCAAAGGCTCGGCAATCATGGTTATTTTATTTTTCCTGTTTGGAGTTTCGGCGAAGCATTTAAGAGATGAAGTTTCAACGACGGTTTCGCAAAATGTAACGACAGGATCGGCTACTTTTATATCTGGAACGACAGTGAATGAAATTTATCAGTAATTTTTTCAGTATTGAAAACTTACAATCAAATCAATCCTTTGACGAATATATTATTTCAATACCTATTTCTGAATACATGTTCCTGAGATCGTGCATAACACAATCCAAATATAATTCTCCGGTACCTAAAACTACGTGTTCTCCAGATTCTTCGACTCTAGTCGAAAGTAAAGGATAAGATTTGTTAACTTTTCTCAAACCGTCCAACATTTTCGGAAGTTCAGAAGGATTAACCGGTTCAACTGAAATAATAATAATAATTTTACAAAAAATATCATTTTTTTTTCAAATTCATTTTTGTAAAACTCGAAAAATGTTTTTTAAAACTATTTTTAACTAACCGGCTATTTTAATAACGGATTGAGTGTTAAATTTTAACGGTCTAAATATGTAAAGATCGTCATCCGTATTTATGTCAGTTATGGTTGCAGTTTTAACAATGGGCTGATCGATTCCTTCAATAAGAACCCAATTACCAGCGGGTACTCGGTTGACTTCTATTTTATACCTCGCTTCGTAAACCCAAAGTCTTCCAACGGTTAAAATCCGACTATCTTCCTCATCTTGTAACGTATAATTTTCACCCAGAACGCGAACTTCTTGATTAGCGTGAAGAGTTCCCGACATGACTCTTCCCAAAACCAAAAAAAATGTACAGTCGTCCGTAGGATACATTTTTGTACTGTGAACCATTAAGTGACCCTGAAATCGATCAACGTAAATATTTCAAAAAATTATTAATAATAATTACTATAATTAAAATTAAAATAAAAAACTGAGAAAATGATCAAACCTCGGCTGAACAATTTATCATGTCTTGTGCTAAATCAGAATCTATCGGGCCTGTATAAACGTGTTGAACTTTATTTTTGGCATTCGATTGAGGACTTGGAATGTGATTCACGCACATGTCTACGAAACCATTGAAATCTCCTAAAAATCGACTGCACACCAATCTAAGCAAGGGCCTTATATTTATTTTCATTTCTTCTTTTGTTAATCTTATACCTAATTCGTCTAATACTTGAGGAAGAGTTGTATCCACATCTCCGACCACCTAAATAAATTTAAAATATAAATTATATTACTTTATACATTACATACAGATAAAATTTTGATTTAAAAAAAAAAAAAATTAACCTGAGTAAAAATTTTATATAGGGGCTCAAGTATGAATTCGACAAAACTCCTTTGAGCGCTATTGTGTGGTGGCTTTTTTGAAAACTTTCTCGTTTTAGAATTAAAATAAATGTCGCCCCAAAGTCTTTTAGCAAATTCATTTATATTTATTCCACCATAAGTTTGATTGTATATATTTGCAAAACTTTTTAGAGTGAAACAAACCGCGTATTGAGAACTTGAAAAACAAACGTTTCCTAAAAGTGGTGAAACCACATGTGGATTTTCATTATCAGAGTATAAGCTGAAATTTAAAAAAAATAAAATTTAATATTAAATAATAAACAAAGATTAAATTATTAATACTTTTGCTTAAATAATAATAATAATAATACCTTAAAAGACCATTTACTTCTTCTACAATGTGTCTTAATTTATAATAAGCATCATTGGGAGGAAGTTTAAGTTCCAGAATAAGACGATCAATTTTATTGATACAAACTGTTATGGCAACTTTTTCTTGAACAGCATGCTTTAACAGTCTTTCTGTATTTAAAACAACACCTTCAGCAGCATCAACAAAGATTACAACTCCATCACAAATTCTCATGGCAGCAGTAGCTTCATCACAAAAATTGACATGTCCTAAAAATGATGTACATCGATTTAAAATCTCGTAAACTTCATCACTTTAAAAGTATAAGTATCACACTATAGATTAAATACTGACTACAAAAATACTTACCAGGTGTGTCAAATATATTCATTAAATAACTTTTACTTTTTACATCAGGTAAAACCAATGTTACAGGCATGGCTTTTGTTGAAACTCCTCTAGCTTGCTCAATGAAAAGTGTATCTGTGTATCTTAAATTTTTTTCTTCTGTCGATTGAAAGTCAGGATGTGTTTGACGAATTAAACAATCTACAAATGTTGTTTTACCATGATGAAGATGACCAACTAATGCTACATTTCTTATTAAAGCTGCATTATCCATCATGTCAGCTAAAAATCTAATTTAGAAGAGCATAATTAAAATTCGATATGATTTGATATTTTTCAAATTTAATTCGAAAGGTTTTACTCACTCCATATCATAAGTTGTTTTAGGAAGTTGTTGTTGTTGTTTAACTTGAAATTTTTTTCTTTTAACAGGAGCCACTAATGGAGTTGTCAAAGGTTGATTATCTTCTTCTTGAACAATTGTTTCAACCTCTGGACCATACACTTCCAAGGCATTAGGATAATATCGTTTATCTTCATGCAATACAACTGACATGGGAGCTATATCAGCATCCTCCATTTCTCTATCATCATCCCCATCATCCTAAAAATTTCATTTTTGTAAAATTTTAAATGCAAATTTTTTAATAAAATTATTTTAACAAATAATAGCAGTTTTATTTAAAATTGTAAATACATCATAATCCTGTGCCTCTTGCTCTCTGGAAGTGACATCTTCATCTTCTTCATCGTCAGATTCTAAATCTGGCCCTATATAATTTCCAAACTCATCATACAAATCTGCATCCATTATTACCTAATTGACATTAAAATTAATTAATTTCTATATACTTTTCAATCAATAAGAAGGGTTTATGGCATCGCTTGAAAAAGTAAAATAAACAATGTGTGAATTTGAATCATAAAAAATATTTACAATTACTTAAGAATAAGAGATAATATCTAATATTAATATATTATACATTAGAAATAATATCCAATAATACTTTTTTATGTACGTTATTTCAAACTTTTTATATATTTGAAATAATAATTTGAGTTAAAAGTACCGGTAACCTAAAATAAAAAAATGTTTACCTGTTCAAATCTAAAGCAAAGTTTTCACGAACAGGTTAAAAATTCATTCTAAAGAAAAAAAATTTAATAAAAAGTTAAAACTAATTTTTGTACTATTAATAAAAACTCTTTAAAATTCTTATTTTATATTAATGAAATCACTTTAAATAATGTTTAATATTTACTTCAAAACATCCTTAGCGTTTTCTCACAATACTTACTTACTACTTTAGTCATTTATGTATTGAAAAATTTATTAAAATAAAAGAAATTTTTTTTTAAAATTGTAATAATTATGGAATTCAGCAAATATTTTGTTTAAAAATAATGATAATTGCTTTAAAATTTTTATAATGTAAATTTATTCTATATTTATTTATTACTATAAAATTATTAATGTTGCTAATTGAATATACGCATTTAGATTCCTGTAGCTATAATTGCCTGTTTCACTAGGAGCATAAAAAATAAAATTACACTACTTTTAAAATTATCTAAAAGGAAATAAAATACTTATTTCAAAATTATTAAATTGAAACTAATAAATAAAACATTTTTCATCTTCTAAATTATTATTTAAATAATTAAAATAAAATTGCTCTAATCCTACCTCACCCCAAAATACCCCTGATACTGGAAAAAAGATTTAAGGACGTAAAAAATATATGACAAAAACAAAATTAAAAGTAAAAATTATTTTTTATTCACTAATTTGAACATAAAAAAAATTATAATCATAGATTTATAAAAAAAAATTAATTAAAAAAATTATATGTTAAAATTCAAGAAAAAAATAGTTTATTGAACATTTAGGACAATTAAAACTCTTAGGAAAAATTCAGGCCAAAAAAAAAAACAAAATTATGACTGAAAATTTGAAAAAAAACCACCCCTCAAACGAAGTACCAAGTGAAGGGTAGATTCTTTTTGGATGTTGTAGTCTGAGAGTGTTCTTCCGTCTTCCAATTGCTTACCAGCAAAAATCAATCTTTGTTGGTCTGGAGGAATTCCTTCTTTGTCTTGAATTTTAGCTTTGACATTTTCAATGGTGTCTGAGGCTTCTACTTCAAGAGTGATAGTTTTTCCAGTCAAAGTCTTAACGAAGATTTGCATTCCTCCTCTGAGACGAAGTACTAAGTGAAGGGTAGATTCCTTTTGGATGTTGTAGTCTGAGAGTGTTCTTCCGTCTTCCAACTGTTTACCAGCAAAGATCAATCTTTGTTGGTCTGGTGGAATTCCTTCTTTGTCTTGAATTTTGGCTTTCACATTTTCAATGGTGTCAGAAGCTTCAACTTCAAGAGTAATAGTTTTTCCAGTTAGAGTCTTGACAAAGATTTGCATTCCTCCTCTGAGACGAAGAACCAAGTGAAGGGTAGATTCCTTTTGGATGTTGTAGTCTGAGAGTGTTCTTCCATCTTCCAATTGCTTACCAGCAAAGATCAATCTTTGTTGGTCTGGTGGAATGCCTTCTTTGTCTTGAATTTTGGCTTTCACATTTTCAATGGTGTCAGAAGCTTCAACTTCAAGAGTAATAGTTTTTCCAGTTAGAGTCTTGACAAAGATTTGCATTCCTCCTCTGAGACGAAGAACCAAGTGAAGGGTAGATTCCTTTTGGATGTTGTAGTCTGAGAGTGTTCTTCCATCTTCCAACTGTTTACCAGCAAAGATCAATCTTTGTTGGTCTGGTGGAATTCCTTCTTTGTCTTGGATTTTGGCTTTGACGTTTTCAATGGTGTCTGAGGCTTCAACTTCAAGAGTTATGGTTTTACCAGTCAAAGTCTTAACAAAGATTTGCATTCCTCCTCTAAGACGAAGTACCAAGTGAAGGGTTGATTCTTTTTGAATGTTGTAGTCTGAGAGTGTTCTTCCATCTTCCAATTGCTTACCAGCAAAGATCAATCTTTGTTGGTCTGGAGGAATACCTTCCTTGTCTTGGATTTTGGCTTTGACATTTTCAATGGTGTCAGAAGCTTCAACTTCAAGAGTGATAGTTTTTCCAGTCAAGGTTTTCACGAATATTTGCATTTTCCCTATAATAATAGTAATAATTTGTTGAATATTAAGTGTGAATATAATATTCTAATAATTACTCATTATGATGGCGTAATAAATATTTAGTTTTTAAAACGTCTAGGAATGGTTTCCTTTTTTAAATAATTGAAATAAATGCATTTTTATTAATAAAATAAAATTTAAAAAAGAGAATATGGTGCAACTATTAATTTTGAATTCAATAAGAATCTTTTTGAATTTACATATTTTAAATTTTTAATATTACATCTTTTGGGGTCTATTATACGGTTAATATATTAGTTAACGCGTAGTAAAAAAAAAAAAATTTTTTTTTTTTAATTTTTTATGTTTCAATAGAATGCATTATTAAAAGTAAATTACTCAAATATTCATACTTACTTTTTTATTAAAAAATCTTTATAAGTAAAAAGAGAATAAACCTTATTTAAAAGTTTGACGTTCAACACCTCGAATGTTAAAACTGCTCTACAGACTACGTAACGTCTTCTTTTCTTTGTTATAAATCAGAAATTTAAACAGAATGTGATTGGTTAAATTTTATTACAAATTTTTTTATTGGCTCAGATTTTTATCTACGTCATGCTTACGTAATAGATAATTCATTGTTGTCAAAAAAAAAAAAATTTATTACAAATAAGAATTTCCGGATAATTAAATTTTTTTTCAAAATAATTATTGAAATTCTCTTAATTTACTTTTATTTTAACTTTCATAAAAAATATTTATAATTTTATTACATCTTAAAGTATAAATATCTATCATTCATTTTCCATAATATATTCTAATTTATCAAAACAAGCGCTTGTCGATTATTCCAGAATATTAAACAAAAAAAAAAATTTTTTTCTTTTAATACATTATTTTATTTAAAAAAGAAACTTTTATTTTTAATTAAACCTTTTATTATGATGAAATTCATTTTTTTTTTTTTTTACCACAAATTACTTTCCCTAATTATTACATTGTTAAAATTTTAGGCCAACCATTTTTTATTTATGTCAATGATTTTATTATCATTTATAAAAAAAAACTTTCTTTAGCCTTGATAATTAACACTTTTAAAATTTGAAATTTATAAACTTAATGTTACAAAGAATTAAGACGATGCAAATAAAACAAAAAAAATGAAATTAAACGACAACCTTTGATAAATTTATTTATTTTAACGTTACAGGAAATAAGAAAATTAAACAACCAACTAAACAACCTTGAAAAACCCTTAAACAAACACTTTTGAAATAAAAAAAAAATTTAATGATCACATTTAATTAATTAATTATAAGCAACAATCGATTATTTTTTCGATTAGGCCTTTAAAAAAGACTTTACTTTGTCTATCAAGTGGAAAAATTTTATTTATTAGCAATAAAAAGAGATAAATGAATGTGACTTTGAAAATAAAAACAAAATTTATTACAACTTGTTTTAAGCAAATGAAAAATAATAATAAAATCGTCAATTAACTATATTTAAACGAATGAACGTAAATAAATATTAATGATTACCCCATAAACAATAAAAAATATTATTAATACGTCAATTAATGCTTTTGGCAAAAAATTAAAAAATTATTTTCGGAATAAAAAAAAATTAAAACGTAGTTAAATGACCTTGAACGATGCCTTACAAAATCACAAATGACATTTCCTTTTCACGTGATTTGTATTTTATCAATGTATAACAAAAAAAAAAATTCAATATTTTCAATGACACGTTTTCACTCCATTTTAAATATTCATTAAATATCGACTGCTCTATTAAATATCTAGCACAATTCTCAAGACTCCATTTTTAAAAATAAATAAATTCAGAAATTCATTGACTTACAAAAACTTAGCCAAAAAAAATTGAATTGATAACAATAACCCCATTTTTAAATACATTGGTCATCAACAATATTTGTGTGCATACTTATATATATAAATTTGAAAAATAATTTAGGAAATGATATAATCAAAAAAGAAAATCAATTATCAACAAACTATTTATCAATTAAAATTTGTTTATTTATTTATTAAGCCAAAGTCAAATGAATTATAAAATATTTCCAAAATAAGAATTTTCAAAAAAAAAATTAAACAGAAAAAAATATATTAAATGCAAAAAATGACAGAATTTTTATAACATGTAATTATACTTAGCAAATTAAAAACCTCCTCTGAGACGAAGAACCAAGTGAAGAGTTGATTCTTTTTGGATATTGTAGTCTGACAGTGTTCTTCCGTCTTCCAACTGTTTTCCAGCAAAGATCAATCTTTGTTGGTCTGGTGGAATTCCTTCTTTGTCTTGAATTTTGGCTTTGACATTTTCAATGGTGTCTGAGGCTTCAACTTCAAGAGTAATAGTTTTTCCAGTTAGAGTCTTGACAAAGATTTGCATTCCTCCTCTGAGACGAAGTACAAGATGTAATGTAGATTCCTTTTGGATGTTGTAGTCTGAGAGTGTTCTTCCGTCTTCCAACTGTTTACCAGCAAAGATCAATCTTTGTTGGTCTGGTGGAATTCCTTCTTTGTCTTGAATTTTGGCTTTGACATTTTCAATGGTGTCAGAAGCTTCTACTTCTAAAGTGATGGTTTTTCCAGTCAAGGTCTTGACAAAGATTTGCATTCCTCCTCTGAGACGAAGAACCAAGTGAAGGGTAGATTCTTTTTGGATATTGTAGTCTGAGAGTGTTCTTCCGTCTTCCAACTGTTTACCAGCAAAGATCAATCTTTGTTGGTCTGGAGGAATTCCTTCCTTGTCTTGGATTTTGGCTTTCACATTTTCAATGGTGTCTGAGGCTTCAACTTCAAGAGTGATGGTTTTTCCAGTCAAAGTCTTAACAAAGATTTGCATTCCTCCTCTGAGACGAAGTACCAAGTGAAGAGTTGATTCTTTTTGGATATTGTAGTCTGATAGTGTTCTTCCGTCTTCCAATTGCTTTCCAGCAAAAATTAATCTTTGTTGGTCTGGAGGAATTCCTTCCTTGTCTTGGATTTTGGCTTTGACATTTTCAATGGTGTCTGAGGCTTCAACTTCTAAAGTGATGGTTTTACCAGTCAAAGTTTTTACAAAGATTTGCATTCCTCCTCTGAGACGAAGTACAAGATGTAATGTAGATTCCTTTTGGATATTGTAGTCTGAGAGTGTTCTTCCGTCTTCCAACTGTTTACCAGCAAAGATCAATCTTTGTTGGTCTGGTGGAATTCCTTCTTTGTCTTGAATTTTGGCTTTGACATTTTCAATGGTGTCAGAAGCTTCTACTTCTAAAGTGATAGTTTTTCCAGTCAAAGTTTTTACGAAAATTTGCATTCCTCCTCTGAGACGAAGTACAAGATGTAATGTAGATTCCTTTTGGATGTTGTAGTCTGAGAGTGTTCTTCCATCTTCCAATTGCTTTCCAGCAAAGATCAATCTTTGTTGGTCTGGTGGAATACCTTCCTTGTCTTGGATTTTGGCTTTGACATTTTCAATGGTGTCGGAAGCTTCAACTTCAAGAGTGATAGTTTTTCCAGTTAAAGTTTTAACGAAGATTTGCATTTTGAACCTAATGAAAAAATAATTTTTTATTTTTTTTTTTAAATTAAAATTTCATAAAATTGTGTAAATATATGTAATAATTCAGTTTTGCATAATAATTTGCGTCAAAATTTTTTATAGTCTTCTGACGAGTGTATTCAATAATTAAAGAAGAAAAAAATTTTAGAATTTAAATAAAATGATTAAATAGATAAAAAGCCTGATTTTTCTATAGTCACAAGTTTTTATAGATCAATATTTTAACTTTTTTTTAATTTCGATTAAAAAATTTTAATTAATTAGATTAATTTTAAAAAAGAGGCAAATATTAAATAAATATCTTTATGCAATAAAATTAAGTTTTTTAAAATACTTACTGCTAATCAATAACTTGGAATAATAAAATTAAAATCTTGTAAATTTTAGCCAACGTATTTGTTTGAATGCTAGCTTGAAACTGACGCGAAAGCAATGTTCCACCTAGGCTTTTTTTTTTCAAAATCTACAAGTCATCCTCGAATATTATTGGTCCACGTCACAAAGTAAAATTATTATTGGTAAATAACGGAACTGCGTCACAGATTTTTCTAGCTCGTGATTCGCTAAAATATTTTCTAGAACATTCTACATGACTAATTGAGAAAGTTTCGTCTTTGTTGTATAATGATTCACAGGAAATTTCTACAATATATGGCTCCAACTTAATTAATCAATTTAATTTGCAATTTCAAACTTCATGAAATTTTCTAAATTTATTTATTATTACTTCCTATAAATTTATATTACAATTTTCTTATTTTAATATGCAAAATATTTGATTTTTATCCAAAAAACTATTTATTACTAATGTTTGTATATTAATTTTTATATATAATTGTAAGTTATTTTTTTTTGAAAATTTACAAATACAAATTGCTGCATATGGCTTATGCTTAATAAAATGCTAAAAATAAAGAAAAACTCAGGTTATTGTTATTATTGAATACGACGTAATTTTTTGAAATTTATAATTACGTAACAAAAAAACATCAATTTTATTGGCTTCGTAATTGCGCAATTGCATACATGGCAAAAAAAAATTATTTTCGTTTCTAACTTAAATTAGTTACTGATATTTATAAAAACTGCATGAAATCATCGATATAATTAAAAATTTCGGGCAAGCAATTTTCCTCGTAAAAAAAATATTTATTTAGTTTATTTAATTTATGTACGTTAAAAATATTTATTTATTTTTGAATATTAAAAAGGAAAAAAAAAAGCCAAATTGCACCTAAATTGTACTTTTAAGAAAATCCACAATATGGCTGAATTAAAAAAATCAATTTTTGTAATTTATGTGAGATTAAATTAAAAACGATCGTTACTTTCCTTTAAAAAATAGAATTCTTAGTTTTTATTTACATATCAGACATATTTTCCTGTTTCACAATCAACTCTCAATAATAAAATACAAAAAAAAAAAAATAAATAAATCAATAAAACTTAAATGTTTTGTTTTTACACTTAAATTACAGATTAATTTTTTCATTATTCGTAATCATCGATCTATACTTTAAATAAATATCTACGATTTAGGAATTTCATTTAAAAAACATTTAATTTGTATTTTTTAAAAATTCAAAAAAATTTTAATTAAAAAAAAATTATAATCAAAAATTAAAATAATAAAAATATATATGCTGTTTTAAATAAGGCATTGAATTCTCTAATTCGGGTTAAACAGCAAAGAAACAAATATAAAAAAAAAAACATGAACGAAATTTAAATGAATAATTTTTTTCTTTAAATGATTTCATGTGATAAGATAAAATTTAACTTTTTTTAAAAAACGTAAGCAATGACGATTGCTTTTTAGGCACTTTGGCTGAAGTAACATCTTTAGATTTACCCTCAGTTTTTGCTTCAGAATTATTTTTTGTCTTTGAAAATTTTGAGGTATTTTCTTCAATTTCATCTTCACTGTCTGTTGTTAATGTCAGCTCCTTTCTTGTCTCTTTAATAAAAAAAAAAAACAAGAAAATTTGAATATTGTAAATTTATCCATGTCTTTACGACAATAAGACTATTGCTAAAGAATCTTTGAATAATAATTAATATTTTTTTTTTTTAAGTAAAACAAATATTGATAAATGCTTTAAGATTTTAAGATTTTTTTTTTTTTACCTAAATAACCATCATCATTCATAACTGTTACATCAACTATTTTTCTTTTTTTTCTTTTATTTTGTGTTAGCAAATTATCATCTTTTTTTTCCTCTGTAACTAAAATTTTTTCTTCTGGTTCGAATTTTTCATCAGGTACAATTTCTAAATTAAAAAAATTAGAAAAAGAAAAACATTAGTAAGTCAAACTTTTGTTTTACAATAATCAATTGATAACTTAGATAAAATAAGAAATTTTACAACTTTAAGTTCTAAAATCATAACTAAATAAAAATCTAAAATATTTTATAAAACTATACAGATTAATTTATTACTTATTTTTCTAATCGAAACTAAGATTTCACATTTATTTATAAGTAACAATACATGCAATTATCAATTTAAGATTATAATCAATAACATACCAGTATCATTGTCACTCTCTTCTGAATCTGAAAATAACTGTATTCTTTTTCTTTTTATGTTTTCTTTTTTCTTCCAATTTTCTTTATTTTTACATTTATTATTATCAGGTTTTTTCAAATCTTGTTCATTCAAATTTGATTGTTTTTTCTCCTTCGATTTCTCGATTTTTGAATTATCATTTTTTTGGATAGTTGTGGGCACTAATTCTGGTTTGTGAGTTTCATTTGTACTATCTGTATTTTTAATTTTTGCTTTTGAAAAAAAATTACCAATTTTTCCTGTTTGCTTATTTGCAGCATTCAATTTTGATTCAGCTGCCTATAAAAAAAAAAAAAAAACATTAAATTAATTTTAATCAGATAAAAAAACTTTTTGTCGTGAGCATAATTTAATAATTTAATTGTACCTTTGATTTATTATTTGGACTGACTTTTTTAGAGTTTTCTAAACAATTTTTACCATAACTTTTAGGAGAATTATTAATTTTTTTAGAATTAGGACTATTTACTACAGCATTATTCGAACATTTAACATTAGTATTTACAGTACTGGGAGATTCTTCGAAAAACTTGGAATTTGATTTCTCTGAAGTATGAAACTCATTTTCATTATTTTTAGAGCAGTCAGAACATTTAATGACATAATTACTGAAATAAAAAACTAAAAAAACTTTAAAAATTCGAAAAAGAAATTATAAATTAATGAAGTTTATATGTGAAAAGGTTCACCTTTCTTTATTTCCTAAATTATTAGCAACTCCAGCAAGAATTTTAATTTCTTTTAAAGCTTTACCCTTTTGAACACTATAAATGTGATCTGATGTTATTTCTAAAAATTTTTTCTTTTCATTTTCTTTTTCATTTTCATTGACTATTGTAACATTTAGACTTCCATCATTCAATTTTCCCGCCAATAAATGTGTTGCACAAATATTAGAATTTTTATCTTTGCATTGTAATAAAAAAGTGTAAAGTAATCTAAAAAAATTAACATATAATTACTCAAATGCACAAAAAAAAACAATAATATAGAATAATATAAATTAGGGAACTTACTGTTTTGAAGTATTTACGTGAATGCCTAAGCTTTTACTCAATGACTTGTAAGTAACCTAAAAAAAAATAATAGAATTAAACACAATAAGTACAATTAAACAATGAAAATCATACGAATGTTTTTTCTCACAATTTTGTTTTCATCAATAATTAATTCCTCTAAGGTTTCTAAATACGATTTTAATAAGCTTTGCTCCATTTAATTTATATCCTAACTTGTAAGAAAATAATATTAACGAAAAATAAAAGTACTCTCTGTAACCACTTTTTTTCGTCTATTGACACTGTAATCGAATTTTAAGTACTAATTTTTTTTAAAGAAAGTATGCCTATTCATGAAATTTTTAAACCTATATCTAAATGGATAAGAAAAACAGTTAGACAAAGGACTAGGCCTGTACCAAGAGATGTAGCTGAAGAGAGACAGATGTTCTTTTCTACAGTATATTTTTTATCAGCTTTAGGTTTAATGGGTAATTACAATCTAATAATTTTTTGAGTTTTCCATACAACCCTAAGTAAAATAAAAATAATTTCCTTTAAATTTTAGTATTAGTATTGGCCGATATTGCGAAAAGAGATTTACATGCTGTCCCTTATAAAAGAAATCGTGATAAAAAATTGTCACAGGCTAAAGAAGAAAAAACGGAGGAATTATCTCTTGATGAATATGAAGAAGTCATGAAATCGAAAGAACATTATTAAATTTTTTATAACAATAGTTTTGTGAAAAGATAAATCAGATTATTTTTTTACAAATTTTAATGAGAGATAGGCCAATGAATGTTAAATTTTTTAAATTGTACTTATAGGTTTTGTAAAAAATTTTATACCATTAAATGTAAAAATATTATGTTAAAAAAGACAAAATGGAAAAAATTTTATTCGTAAGAGTAAATTTTTTTTCTAATTATTGTAATAAGAAGTGTAAAATTTTCTTATTTATAATATTTTATCTTATGTGTTGCCATTTATAATTTGAAATTTTTTCGAGGGGTTACGTTAAAAATTAAAGTAGTACTCAATTTAAATATTAACATACAAAAGATGACTTTTTTAAGAGGCTAGATATAGTTACTTTAGTTTAGTTAAATTAATGTATTCAATAAAATATCATTTCAAATGTCCTTTAATGTAAGGCAATTCTACCTGGTTTTTATTTTTAAAAATTATGTTATATTAACGTACATATGAATTTGTCGAGAAAATCAGTCAGTGTTGGATTGTCAATCAAAGCAAGAAATACATAATATTGTATGCAAAAATCATTGTGATTATTAAAATTTATATTTATTGACTAATTATGTAATTATGGTCAACTCTAAAGTTAGTTTATTAAAGATTGTTGCTTGTAAAACGGTACTAAACATTTGAAATTTACAATTTCATAAATTTAATGTTAGTAATTGTTTTTACTAGATAAAACAATTGTTTTAAAAAAAAAATTGTTAATATAGTTTTTTTTGTTAAATTTGTTTAATTGACTATTTATTTTTTATTAAGAAAATTATTTAATAAAATTTTATATTTTTTTTATGTTCGCATGCAGTTTTATTATAAAAGGAATTTATTTTGACAATAAGGAAATCAGTAAATAATTTTTTTACTTCATTTACAAAAAATAAATAGTGAAACTTACAAAAAAATTTTATATAACGATAAAAAATATATATAGATCAACAATATTTTTAACATTAAAAACTTATTTTCTTTAATATTGCTGATATAGTGGTGAATGAAAACAATTTTAAATAATAAAATAACATCAAGTTTTACTTAGAAATAAATTAATAAAAGTGACTTATTAATATTTTTTTAAAGAAAAATAATAGCAATTATAAAATAAGAAAATTAAATTTTATTGACCAGGGCCTGATAGTGATTTATCCATAAATTTTTTTTTAGAAAAACATAGCCACCATTTTGAGGGTCTACCATCTTCAGTATTAAATACTTTTTCACAAATTCTATTACCTGTTTCTTGTCTAATTTGTTGAAAATATTGCCTGAGGAGATCTAAAAAAATGTTTAAAAAAAAATCATAATAAATTTTAATTTCAATCAGTAAATTGTTGAGTTTAAAGTTAAAAATTTTTATTAAGGTTTTACCTGCTTCTGCAGGAGTCTTTGGCTTGGCATAAACAGAGTTTAACGGGAATCCAGGCTCTCCAGGAATGTCAAATTTTGATATTGCCAAAGTGTACATTTCACTTTTACCTTGTGTTTTATTTGAGCATTTTTGAAGTCTTTTTAAACATTCAGTTATGTACAAAGTAATATAAATTAAAACTCTGTCCGCTTCACTCTAAAATTATTTCATAAAAAATTGACTTGTGTAAACACATAATTTTTTCACACAAACATACTAAAACACTGTAAACAAACACAAATTTTACCTTAATTTCATAAGTACGAAAAAATACATTGGCTCTGAAGTAATAAATGGCTTCATCTATTATATCAGTTTCAGTTGTGCAAGGAGGAGCTGGACCTTTAGCTTGTGATTTTAATGGTAATATTGCTGTATTACCAACTGATTGATTAAATTCTGTTAACGAAGAATGATAAGCCTAAAATAAATTATTAAAAGTTTATTAAAGGCAAATCAATTATAAAAATTTTATTTTAATTGTAATTTAACCGTTTTTTTATTACTATAAATTATAGAAAAACTCTCGATATGTAAATGTTTTAAATAACAATATAAATTTTCCAATTAAGAATTGAATAATTACAAAAAGGAAGAATCAATTTTGCCACACCCAATAATAACAAGCATTAAAATCATTTATGAAAAAATTATTACTTAAAGATGGCTAAAAAAAATTAATAAGTACTTGAATAAACAAAAAAAAAAAAAAAAACCTTACTGGCATATTAAAAATTAAATAATTTTATCTTATCCGGGTGTATTTTTTTTTACAACAACAAGTTACACTACCATCTTTCATGCATGTAATATTTCTTTAATTTATCTTATGACACGACAAAAATTCAACCAATCAGATTCGAGTATTGTTTTCCCACCAAGACACGAACAATACGTCATAATTTTTTTTTTCCCGCATATTTACAATTTCAAAAAAAAAAAAAAAAAATGTGAAATACAAAAACAAAGAAAAAAATTCTTTGATTCGATAGAAGTATGTCAAGAGAAAAACATAAATATTAATTTAAAAAATTATTGAAAATTTATTAATATTAACATTATCAATATTATTATTATTATTATTTTTTAAATAAAAACAACAAAAGAAATATTTAGTTTTCAAGTTAAAACCTTAATTGTACGTTACGATATTACACCGTTTATTATTCATTACGGACTAGAAGTAATCAGTTTGTGATTGGCATGCAACGACTTGAGTGCATTTTAGTTTTTTAAACAATAAATTACGAGACCTACTTAATTCCGTGAGGGACAATAACAACAACAACACACTTTGTAAGTTTTACTTTTACTCTATATATATATTAAAACTTTTTAATTTTAACAAAATTATTATGAAACATTTTGAAATTTTTCATAACATTTAAATAAAAATACTACATTATATTTCCACCTTCAACTTATTTTTTTTTTTTAGATCTATATTTTAATTATTATTTAATTTTTTTACATTAGAGTTTCGTAATAATAATAATAATAATAACGATTTTGTTAAAAAACGTTTATTATTCAAACTTTAAAAATGAAATCCATTAAACGTAATTGAAATAGCAGAAAATTTTTAAATTTTTAATTACTAATAATGATAAGTAATAAATTATAAATACGAGATTTAGTGTATAGAAATTTATTTTTATGATATGAAACAAACATTTTCATTTTTTTTTTTTTTGCATGAGATTGCTTGTTTGTTTGTTTGTTTGTAAAATAATTGATTTGGCAACGTCAAAAAAAAAATTCTTTTATTTATTTTTTTTGTAAAGTGACAATTTTAACAAATAATAAAAGAAAAAAAAAAATTGAAAAACTTTTTTACAATTGAATGCAAAAAAAAAAAAAAAGTTTTTTAGAAGAAAAGAGAGAGAGAGAGAAGATAAAACTAAAAATAAATATTAACAATTTTTTTTTTTTTTTGGCAATATTTAAAGGTATATAAATCAGACTTTGTGGTTTTTCTTTAAAAAAAAATGAGTTTATAAC